AAAAAAAAAAAAAAAAGGTGCACAACACAATCTATTTCATGCTAAAGTTATGCATTTAGTTTACCCCTACTTTATAAGCACTTAGTAGGTGAAAGTAAGCACTGCAAGTATGCAACCTTTTTATAGCCAGCAGATCACATATGCACAATGTTATAATGAGAAATAACTAAAAGTTAGAAAGATGTGAAAGGGGCATATACAACTGAAAGAAACAAAACTGCATTGGTCTATCAAAACTTACTTAAAACAGAGGCCAAGAGACTGTTCCCCGTCTTCAAACATGCGCCTGAAAGAGTCCTTGAATACAGAATGACCAAAACTCTCAGCTAGAACAACCAAGCCACCAGTTTTTTCAACTGCAACTTTCATTTCTGCTACCCCAACCTGAAAAAGTGCAAAAGGCACAACTACAAATTTTAAGGTACATGGGAATTAATTGTAGTTATTGGATGAATCAAAATTTAAAATGCCAACCATGAAAAATTCAATGATAATGAAGAAACTACTTGCATCCACAGAATAGTTTGTGCCAGAAAACATTATACTAACAGCCAACAGAGGAAGTGGCTATAAAAGCCCTCAAACTATTTTATGCATTGTGTGTCATCTTCTGCTACATGCCACAACAGAAAATAAAGGATGGCTGATACAGACCTGATCAAGTGCAGATGCAAAGAGGTCTAGAACATGCCCCTGGCTGACCAGCTGCTTGGCCAGATTATCATAAAATTTGACAGCTTTCTTAAAATATGGTGCAGCATCCTTATCAAGATCTTTATGGGAACGCACAGGTTCTGACAAATCTTTTGACACAATCTGATAAATTCAACATGAATGAATTTATGAAAATATCAATAAACCAGCAGTAATTCATAGGATGAGAAGTAAATTGCTCAATCTCCATCTATTTCAATTTTAATCAGTGGCATAAATGTATATTCCAAACAAGATATATGGGAACCACAAACTGTATCACCTAAGCAAAGAGCAGACTTTTGAAAAGCAATCAGAATATAAAAATCTGTCAAGTGTGAAGTAAAAGCAATGTCTTTCAACTTCAGGATTCTGCAGACAGAATAGCAGCATACAACAAAGAGACCTTCGCAGGCTGTTTGGTTTAGCTCCATTTTGTCATGGATGATGAACCATTAAGTCTATTAGTTTTGACACAGGGCAAGGAATGGAATTGCATTACCGTGCCAGGCCCTTCTGTGCATGGACCACCAACCAAAGCAACAATCCTAGCGCCTGTTCCAGGCAAACAAGCCCCAAGCAATCCAGCTGCAACACTCAATGCCACTCCAGTGCACCTGGACCCCCTGTGCCCTGGAGGAACTGGCCATTGATCTGTTTGCAATTCATCCAATAGCTACATTTTACAATGAAAAACAATCAGATAAAATTTCAAAAAAGAAAAAGCATAACAAAATAACTAAAATCAAATAACCAGAAAAGAAAAGAAAAACGCACCGAATTGAGAATATACTCGCACTCGGAGGCAGGCAACAAGAACCGGTTCAGACCAGTACTTTGAAATCCATTTTGCAGGGGTTTTGGATACCCTCCCGCCGGCCTCCTGGCCGAAACGCCTAGACCCAATTGCTCCAGCACCTGTTCCTTGGAAATCTCTTTACTGCCCCGAAAAACATAAACTTTGGACATATCGGAGAAGCCCAGTTCGTACACCTGTGTCTGGGTCCCAAAGGACACAAATCCCACAAGGGCATGCTCCGGCAGCAGCCCGATCGCCTGCTTTAAAGCGGATTTAACGAATCCCATCTCCTCCTCGATCATGCAGGTATCAAGCATGAAAACAAATACCGGCGGCGATAGAGGGATGCTGGCGGCGTTGTGGGGATCGGGATTGGACTGCAGCGTATACTCCACCGTGGTGTACTGTGGGTATAGCTCATAGGGGAAGTTGGTCTCGGAGATCATGGCATAATGAGGCGGAAAATGGTTGCGCTGGTAACAGAAGGGACAGATCCAGATCTTGGCTGTGTAGTCGACGCGCGCGAAAGCATTGAGGGCGGCAGAGCAGGTCTTACAGCGGAGAGGCGCGTATGGGAGAGCGGGGATCTCAGGGTGGGAACGGATCGGAGATATACAGGCAGCGAGGGGGATGACGCATTTGCTAGCTTCGACTTTGGTTCGCGGCCAGGCATTCCAAGACATCCGAACTCCGTCGATCCCCTCAGGATCGGTGTTTGCCAATTCCGACATCCTTGAGGATTACCGACTAATGATTCTGTGTTTTCTGGGATTGATTCCGATTCAGGAAATTGGATTTTTTTTTTTTTTTTTGTGAATTTTTTTAGGCAAGGCGACCCCAGGAGACGAGAAGGAGAAGGGGTCACCGAGAGGGAGCCGAAGAGAGGCGAGAATTGGAGTCGGGTTTGCAGGTTGCACAGGAGAAATTTGAGGGCAATTAGTAGTGTGTTTCTAGAGGACGGTTATGCTATTTTAGCCTCTTTTTTTTTTTTTTTTTTTCTTCATAAACAACGTTAAAAAACTTAAAATGATGCAAAAATAAATAGATAAAAAAATAATTTTTTTTTTATAAAATGTGAAATTTATTATCCACAATTTGACTCTACTGTAAGCAGCAAATTAATTACTACAAATAATAGAATCCCCCAAAACAAACTGGCAAAGCAGTACCAACCTATTCCTTCACAACATCTTCTAGCCCCCATTGCTTAGCAATATCTATAGGCAA